GGGGATGGGGGGATGGAAAGCTCAGGCTGGGGTGTACAATTAATTAATAAGTGGGTCAAGGTTAATTGTAGGGTTTAAGGCACTTTACAAAACTGGACAGCTCTGTTGGAGATTTGGGGCAGACAAAGGGAGTTTGGCACAAAACCAGTGAAGGTTTGGGAATGGGGGAGCGGCCGTGACCCTGCTGGAGTCCGGGGGGGACCTCCAGCCCCCCGGGGGGTCCCTGCGCCTCCTCTGCCGAGGGTCCGGGTTCAGTTTCGGCAGTTTTGGGATGGGCTGGTATCGTCAGCGACCCGGCAGGCGGCTGGAGTGGCTTGCAGGGATCACCAACAATGGTTACACCATCTATTCACCATCGTTGAAGGGCCGGGTGACGATCTCCAGGGACAACGGGCAGAGCTCGGTGACGCTGACCATGAACAGCCTCAAGGACGAGGATTCCGGATCCTATTTCTGTGGGAAATCTGCTGATAGTGGTACGGGTGCTACTGCTGCTAATTATGGTGACGCTGCTCATGGTGTCCCCACCCCCCACTCGGAGTGCCCCCTGCCCCCCCAGCACAGACCCCTCCCCCAAAGCCCAGCCCCAGGCCCAGCTCTTGACCATTGATCCCAGCCTTGCTCTGTCCTGGCCCCAGTTCTCACCCGCTGACCCCAAACCACAACTCCTGACCCCAAATCTCCACTTTGTTCCCCAAAACCTTGCTCTGAAGGTCGGAGATTGAGCCCAGATTTTGGTCAAGTTTGTGGCCAAGAGCAGAGAATTTGGGGCAGGACGTGTCCAGGGCGGGGATACAGGGTCAGGGATGGAGCCAAGGGCTGGGGTTTGGGGGAGGGTCTGGGATTTGGGGACAGGGGGGACTCGGAGGTGGGGGTGGGGACAGCGCCGGGCTCGTCAACATAAGCATCACCGGTATGGGGATATTTCACACAGAAATAGGATCCGGAATCCTCGTCCTTGAGGCTGTTCATGGTCAGCGTCACCGAGCTCTGCCCGTTGTCCCTGGAGATCGTCACCCGGCCCTTCAATGACGGCGCATAGTAGGTGTAACCTCCGGTGCTGTGGACCCCCGCGAGCCACTCCAGGGCCTGCCCGGGTCTCTGGCGGACCCAGCACATGGAGAAACTCTGGAAACTGAACCCGGACCCTCGGCAGAGGAGGCGCAGGGACCCCCCGGGGGGCTGGAGGTCCCCCCCGGACTCCAGCAGGGTCACGGCCATTCTCCTATTCCCAAACCATAACCAGTTTTGCCCCAAGCTCCCCTGGTTTGGCCCCAAATTACCACCAGTGGTTTCCTGTATCCTAAAGTGCCCTAAACCCTGTAATTAACCCCCATCCACTCATTAATGAATTGCACACCTCCGCCTGAGCTTTCCATCCCCCCATCCCCATCTCCCCTTGTTCCCGCAGGGCTCCGGGCGGCCGTGACCCTGCTGGAGTCCGGGGGGGTCCTCCAGCCCCCCGGGGGGTCCCTGCGCCTCCTCTGCCGAGGGTCTGGGTTCGATTTTGGACGAACCAGTCTGATGTGGGTTCGCCAGGGGTCTGGGCAGGGGCTGGAGTTCGTTGCGGGGATGGACTAATGGGTTCGTCACAGCCCCGGGCAGGCGCTGGAACTCATCGCGTGGATCAGGAACGATGGTGGCAACACCTGGTATGCGCCCTCGGTGCAGGGCCGGGTGACGATCTCCAGGGACAACGGGCAGAGCTCGGTGACGCTGACCATGAACAGCCTCAAGGACGAGGATTCCGGATCCTATTTCTGCGTGAAATCTTCTTGTGCAAACTGTGCTGCCCCTGGTGATGTTGGTCTTTCTGGTGGTTGGGGTGGGTTTGACCCCATCCCTGTCCCCGTGTGCCCACATGACCTTATGCCCCCAAACCCTTACTCTAGACCCCAACCCCTGACCCCGTTCCTGTCTCCTCTCCCCGCTCTGAACTGGTTTTGCCCCAAATCTACGCCGTTTTCCCCCAAATTCACAACTCTCAGCTCTGTCATTGACCGTTGGTGCCAATTTTTGTGCCAAACCCTCAGGATTCGGTGCCCACAGCGGGGTTTGGTGCCCGGGGTGCAGATTTGGGGCTGCCCCTGAGGGATTTTCAGGCCCATGGTCACGAGAGAAGGGAGCGGAAATCTGGGGTGAAAAGCTGAGATTTGGGGGGCGGTTCTGGGTAAACGGCCCGAGGGTGAGGGGAATGACGAGATTTGGGAGAAATGGGCAAAACTGGGGGGAAAAAATCAAGAGTTGGGCCAGGAAGGAGGGAGTTTAGGGGAAAATGGCCAAGATTGGGGAAAAGGGCTCGCATTTGGGGGACGAATCGCTGGGATTGGAGACATTGGGTGACCATCATGGGAGTGGGGCCAGACTTGTCGCCAAAAACAGCAGCAGCAGCGTTGCCAGCATAACCATCAAAACGCTTGGCACAGAAATAGGATCCGGAATCCTCGTCCTTGAGGCTGTTCATGGTCAGCGTCACCGAGCTCTGCCCGTTGTCCCTGGAGATCGTCACCCGGCCCTTGAGTGACGGCGCGTACCAGGTGCCGCCACCAGTGTTGATGCTCCCGACCCACTCCAGCCCCTGCCCGGGTCTCTGGCGGATCCATTGCATGTCGAAACTGCCAAAACTGAAGCCGGACCATCGGCAGAGGAGGCGCAGGGACCCCCCGGGGGGCTGGAGGTCCCCCCCGGACTCCAGCAGGGTCACGGC